CTCAGAGCTCCGGACACTGTGATGTTGGAGGGTTGGGAATGATGCTGAGAAAGAATCAGAAAAACTAAAAAATGTCTTTGATTTAATTAATTAATTATTTTGAGATGGTATGTCACTGTGTTGCTCAGGCTGATCTCAAACTTGTGATCCTCCTGCCTCAGCCTGCTCAGTAGTTGGGATTATAGGAGTACACCACTGTACCCAGGGAGGGTTTTGCTTGGAGGTGGAGCAGGTCAACTTTTTTCTTGTATTGCTCATGCTAGAGAACTCTTTTTGGTCAGTAGCTTGGGTGTTTGGTGAAGGATGTAACCACAGAACCAGTTTCTAGAGGAGAGGAATCCCAGCGTAATCTGCAGAGGTAAATACAACATGGAGGCTTGGAGGTCAGGAGATACCTTTCTCACTCTGTATCTATATAGTCACCTAATACTTTCTTACATGAATTTGTATTTTAAGGAGTCTTTCCTCTTACATACAGAGTTTTCCTTCTATCTGTTATGTTTGCATGGCTAATAAAAATTTTAACCTCTTTTTGCAACATAAGCAATATTTTTCTTTGATAAATGTCCCTTTCCTAAGTCCAGGAGTTTCAGTGGAGCTGATTCCAGTTGCCCCTTGTTCCTGGCTTGGCCAATGAGAGATTGAAGTCACAGAGGTTGATCAGCTGTGGACAGTAGCCCAGAGAGAGGGCAACCAAAGCCTGTGATCCTTCACCTGGAGTTTGGCTGCAAACACTGACAAATGGCACTGCTTGACATATGGGGTTTGCAGATTAGGCCAAAGGCAGGCCTCAGGTTGTCTTTTGCCAGGGGAGTCACCTGACCAAACATGTGTCCAGTGTGGAAGAGTGCAAGGCTAAGGAAGGGAGGAAACCGGATGTGCAGGGTACCACAGAGTCTCTGGCTCTGCCCCCCTCAGAATTTAGCTATATCTCTGACTTTTAAGTTGTAAAAATCAATCTTTTATTTTGTTTTCTTACTTTGTCTAAACCAATCTAAGTGACATTGTACCTCACAAATATGTACAAATATGAATCAGTCAGAAAAAAATTTAATTTTTAAAATGACAGACTTCTAGATTTAGGCCTTTGGTGAAACCTTTCTTCAAACTTCTGTTTCATTTATATACTTGAATTAGTACAGGAGAGAAGGTGGTAGTGACCTCCACACAGTGCCAGGGAGGGATGCAAAGAAACCCAAATGATGCTGGGGTCTCAGACTACGCCAAGAGAAAGAACAAAGCTTGCACCAACCATAAGGATGTCATGTGAAGTTGATGCAGACAGTAGATGCTATGTAAGGACCCAGTATAACCAGTCTCCTTTCACTAGGATCAATAAATACCAGATGACTACAACATACTGTTAATAAGCTGCCTCCTGATATCCCACACTACCATGGAGAAGACAAGGGGAAAAGACCCATTAGAGAAAACATTAATGAGGCAGTTTGAACTCTGAACTGACTACCTTCCCAAACTAGGTTTTTAACTTGTTCTATTGCTATAAGAAAAATACTTGAGGGTAGGCAACTTATAAACTGAAGAGGTTTATTTGATTCATGTCCTGATGGCTGATGGTATGGCATCAATGTTCTGGATGGATCGTCATATGGCCAAAAATTGGACAGAGAATTGGCTGTGTGTAGAAGGGACCAAATGCATACATTGGCCTGTCTTTGTCATAATCCATTCTTGCCAGAACTAATGTCTGAGGAACAACCAATCCCTTCCAAGGTAGGTGCCTTTGTGCACTGATTGCCTCATAGATCAGTCAGCTTTGTCATCTCTAAGGCACAATACTCAACACCCATCACTTAAAGCGAAAAGTTTAATTCGTCTCATGGTTTCAGGGCAATTCAGTCCATGGTTGGCTGTCTTCAAGGAAGAAATGCCATGACGGAAGGGCCCGGCAGAGAGTGAGGCTTTCTAGGGAATGGTGTCCAGGAAACAGAGCAGAGGAGTTGTGTCAGAGAGGAGGAACCAAAGGGCAAAATGTAGACTCCAAGGCTACTACTATGACCCACTCACTCAGACTTGTGCTCCACCAATCCCATATGAGGATTTAACAGCCAATCATGGTGCCACTCCACTCTGGCCACAACACCTTGTATTAGGTCCAACTTTAAGGTTTTCACCACCTCAACACCACCAGAACCGGAACAAGGTTTCCAGCGCACAAGCCCTTGGGAACAAGCACAAACGTATCCAAAATACAGTGCCTGAAATGACAATCATTCTGACATGTGAAATTAAGAGCAGTGTGCCCTTAAATGAATGAGATGGATGCAGAACTAA